AAACAAATGTTGGGGAAAAAAAATTAGATGACAAATGGGCAAAATCTACAAACACATAATTCATAAAAGAAATACGGATGCCTAATAAATACATGAGAATTTTTTTAAATGTACTGTGGTGATGGTTAAACATATCTGTGGATGTACCAAAAACCATTGAATTGTATGCTTCAAATGGGTGAAATGTATGGTGTGTGAATTATATCTCAATAAAATTGTTTTGAAAAATGTAAAATTATAACATTATTTTCCACAATGAGTCAAATCAGAAATAAAAATAAGTGAATAAAACAGTTGGCTTTCCTCATGATGCTCAAATCTAATGGATGAAGTAATAAATAATTGTGTGAAAACTGTGGTCTAGACATTCTAATTCTTAAACCAGGAATTTTTTTTACATGTAATATAAATCATCCAGCTAAGGAGTCAGGCAATTATCCCCATTTTCAAAGCAGGAAAGCAACACATATGCTCCATAGAAGATCCATTTCTTTTCTTTTTTTTTTTTTGAGACAGAGTCTGGCTCTGTCACCCAGGCTGGAATGCAGTGGTGCGATCTCCACTCACTGAAATCTCCACCTCCTGAGTTCAAGCGATTCTCCTGCCTCAGCCTCCCGAGTAGCTGGGATTACAGGCGTGAGCCAACACACCCAGTTAATTTGTGTATTTTTAGTAGAGACAGGGTTTCACCATGTTGGCCAGAATGGTCTTGGTCTCATCGCCATCTCCTGACCACGTGATCCGCCCACCTCGGCCTCCCAAAGTGCTGGGATTACAGCATCGAGCCACCACGCCCGGCCCATTTCTTCAGTTCAACAATACCAGACCAAGATGAAAGAAGAGAGAAGGAAATATTAGCCATGTACTTAATGAAACATTACCTTCAGCCACAATCCTGGCATTTTCAAGGTTCTATTCATCCCTGCTACAGGTAAGATATCTCGTTCTGAAAATTCTGGAAGTGTCAATAGTGAAGAGTAACCCACAAAAAAGGGGACGCCTTTATAGAATGTAAACTCTAGCTCAACACTTACACATGGTGAAGATCATATTTGAAAACACTTTGTGCCTGATCTTTGGTTGATGACATTTGTCCATTTAATATGCATGTGAAGGTAGAGTGAATCGCTTTCCCTTGGAAAAACTACATATATATGTATATACAATTATATATAATCATATATAATTACATTTAAATATGTAACATATGTTATATATAATATACATATGTACATATAACAGTCCCCAACAAAAAAGAGATGTAGTTTCAATATTCTCAATTTTAAAAGCACATACATATATTTTTTCTTGGTCTGCAAAGTTTGAAATTCATATCAATTTTAGGATTCTGTAATTAAGCCTAAGTTTGGGAATATCTATTGAATATCTAAATGGAGACACACAAAGGTTTTCTATGATCTAGATCTCTCCTAGTGGAGAAAAAAGTGTTCCAAGTAGAAAAGTTGATATCGTCATTTGATAGCACATTTCAAGCTAAAGTAAAATAAAAAACTGCAAACAGAAAATAGTTCTAAAATTTTTTATTCCCTTTTTGTGTTTCAGAAGTTTCTTTGATATTGTCAGCACCTTGAGATCAGTGTGAGCATGTTATCTCACATAGAAAAACAGTATGGAGTATATGAGATATCTTGGTGCAAGCAATTATGTAGCCATATAAATAAATAATAAATGGTTATAAAAAGAAAAATAATAGGGTATAGCAGAAAGAAGTAAAATTTAAGAAATTGGGCAAACCTGTATTCATTCTGGCTCTGCTATCTACCCGCTGTGCAACTTTGAACAAGTTGCTGAAACTCTCTGAGCCTCAAGCTTATCATCTGTCTGTAGAGTTCTCTTTTAACTTGGAGAAGTTAGTTTTGTTGTCTTTGCTAAAGATCACTTCAGAGGCGCTGTAGCTCTTCTTCTGCAAAGTTAATCACAGGAAAGGTGAAAAATCAACTTGTCTAAAGAATACAGGGGCCTCCTAGGAAGATTTTGACTGATATTTTTCAACGTCTCCCTGGAATTCAGAAGTAACACAATTCATTGACATAAACTGATATGTCCGTGGGAATTACCAGGGGCAAGAAATGATAGGAAGCCTCCTGAGACTGAAGAAAAAGCGAAATAAAGCTGTTGGCTATAGTTAAAACAGGTGTTTTTAAACTGGGGTTCTATAAATGTAATTCAGATGGTCCATATATTTAAATAGGGAAACAAGAATACATTTAACTGAAATTTAATATTTTTTCTATTGTGAATGTAGAAAATAAACAACAGCATCATTAATAATATTGATAACTGTCACTAATAGACATCACAGGTATCTCAAAATATTATTTATACTCATTACTCCATCTTGGAAACTATTAGACATGCCACTAGATGTTATTTCATTCATTACAGAGAAGCACCTATATCAGATAGTTGGCTATCGGTTCTTCTTTTACATTACAGTATTTGGTCAGTGTATTTCACTATGACTGGTTTCCTTGGTAATCCTATGTATTTTATTTTGTGCATTTAAAATATATTTTGAGATGAGATTCAGAGGCTTGTGCCAAAAGTGTCCATAGCACAAAAATGTTAAACATTCCTAGTTTAAGACAAGTTCCAAAGCCTTGGGCAGCTGCTTTGGAAATGCTGGTGCTGATTTATCTGGTCCTGTAACCCTGCTCAGTTCCAGTGTTCTGTGAAATAATGCTGAGTGCCACCAGGTAGCTGGAAAGAAAGCCCTTCGTGAGGGCACAGGGCCATCCACCACAGACCCAAGAAAGTGCAAAGAGCCTTTGTGGGAAGAAAGACCTTTTTTGCACCACATCCCCTATGGCAGCAAGAAATGTTTGTGTCTGCTCCCCACTTGGGAAGGAAGACAAGTTAGACTGGCCATCCTGTTAGACTAAATAAAACCCAAGGTCTCTTTTTGGAAGGAAAACATAAAAGAAGCACCAAAAGAGAGTCACTGGACCTCATACCAGTACGGCAGTTGGGTGCTTGGGTAGCTACATATGTAAACCAATGGAGCAAGTTATGCATGCAAAGAATAAAAATATATGAAATTGCAGGCCAGGCGCAGTGTCTCATGCCTGTAATCCCAGCACTTTGGGAGGCCAAGGTGGGCGAATCACCTGAGATCAGGAGTTTGAGACAAGACTGACTCACATGGTGAAACCCCGCCTCTGCTAAAAATACAGATACTAGCTGGGCATGGTGGTGCACACCTGTAATCCCAGCTACTTGGGAGGCTGAGGCAGAAGAATCGCTTGAACCCGGTAGGTGGAGGCTGCAGTGAGCTGAGATCGTGCCATTGCACTCCAGCCTGGGCAACAGAGCAAGACTCCGTCTCAAAATAATAATAATAATAATAATATGTGTGTGTGTGTGTGTGTGTGTGTGTGTGTGTGTAAAACTGCAGTGGGACTAAACAAGGTGGGTAAATAGCCACCTACCACAGTGTCCAGAACAGAAAATGCTAAAAATATTTTAGTACCTTCATCTTCCTAAATACTTCCCACCCTCCCGCCACTATTACAGATACACGAAGGTAGAGAGAAAGAGACAATTTAAAACAGTGGTGGTCCTCTTTCAATTATTCTTTGCTATTAAACTATACTACAAGGCTACAGTAACCAAAACAGCATGGTACTGGTACCAAAACAGAGATATAGACCAATGGAACAGAATAGAGTCCTCAGAAATAATACCACACATCTACAGCCATCTGATCTTTGACAAACCTGAGAGAAACAAGAAATGGGGAAAGGATTCCCTATTTAATAAATGGTGCTGGGAAAATTGGCTAGCCATAAGTAGAAAGCTGAAACTGGATCCTTTCCTTACTCCTTATACGAAAATTAATTCAAGATGGATTAGAAACTTAAATGTTAGACCTAATACCATAAAAATCCTAGAGGAAAACCTAGGTAGTACCATTCAGGACATAGGCATGGGCAAAGACTTCATGTCTAAAACACCAAAAGCAACGGCAGCAAAAGCCAAAATAGACAAATGGGATCTCATTAAACTAAAGAGCTTCTGCACAGCAAAAGAAACTACCATCAGAGTGAACAGGCAACCTACAGAATGGGAGAAAATTTTTGCAATCTACTCATCTGACAAAGGGCTAATATCCAGAACCTACAAAGAACTCAAACAAATTTACAAGAAAAAAACAAACAACCCCATCAAAAAGTGGGCAAAGGATATGAACAGACATTTCTCAAAAGAAGATATTCATACAGCCAACAGACACATGAAAAAATGCTCATCATCACTGGCCATCAGAGAAATGCAAATCAAAACCACAATGAGATACCATCTCACACCAGTTAGAATGGCAATCATTCAAAAGTCAGGAAACAACAGGTGCTGGAGAGGATGTGGAGAAATAGGAACACTTTTACACTGTTGGTGGGATTGTAAACTAGTTCAACCATTATGGAAAACAATATAGCGATTCCTCAGGGATCTAGAACTAGATGTACCATATGACCCAGCCATCCCATTACTGGGTATATACCCAAAGGATTATAAATCATGCTACTATAAAGACACATGCACACGTATGTTTATTGTGGCACTATTCACAATAGCAAAGACTTGGAATCAACCCAAATGTCCATCACTGACAGACTGGATTAAGAAAATGTGGCACATATACACCATGGAATACTATGCAGCTATAAAAAAGGATGAGTTTGTGTCCTTTGTAGGGACATGGATGCAGCTGGAAACCATCATTCTTAGCAAACTATCACAAGAACAGAAAACCAAACACCGCATGTTCTCACTCATAGGTGGGAACTGAACAATGAGATCACTTGGACTCGGGAAGGGGAACATCACACACCGGGGCCTATCACGGGGAGGGGGGAGGGGGGAGGGATTGCATTGGGAATTATACCTAGTGTAAATGATGAGTTGATTGGTGCTGACGAGTTGATGGGTGCAGCACAGCAACATGGCACAAGTATACATATGTAACAAACCTGCAGGTTATGCACATGTACCCTAGAACTTAAAGTATAATAATAATGATTAAAAGAAAAAAAAATAAGCAAACTCAAATTAAAATTCCCAATAATAACAATTAGCTACATTTTACATATATTCAGAAAATAAGATAAAGGAATTATGTTTATTTCCTAAAGTCGCACAGCAAGTTGAAGATCAGTCTGAGATCCCATGTGGACCACTGGCTCCTGCATTAACCCAGGAATACTTCATTTGTATCTGTGTATTTAGCTGGGAACTTGAAGGTTCATTGGCATGGTGTGTGTTTTATTTTTTTTTGGTTTGGTTTGCACAAAAACATGGCTTACCTATTCATGATTCTTTCTGATTTTACCTCATTTACTGAAGGCACTAGAAGAAAGCCATCCTGCAGTTTCATAGGCAGACAAGGCAACAGATGAACCATTTCCACTTTAGGACACCCACACCCTCAGCCTACTGCCTTTGTGATTCAGAACTGTCAGGAGAGAGATTTCTAAAATGCTGTTGAAATCTTCAGGTTCACACTACCATGTGTTGGTCTGCCAGGAATTTGACCCTCCCAAGTTTCATGACTTGAGCTTGATCTTCCTTTTTGTTCCAGGCACAGAGAACCTGATGATAAGCCCTCATTGATGGAAGTAATGAGACAGTAGACAGCAGTATGAAAGCTACTGTCAGGATTCTACATATTTATAATTTAAAATGAAATGTATTAAAGTTATTCCTCTCTCCCTTCCTCACACCGCTGACCTGCCTGCTGAGTGTTTCTCCCTTCAAGTCTGCCTTTAATTCAATTCACTCAAATGATGTTTATCAATTATATATTGTGCTAGACATGGTATTATTCACTCTAGATAACAAATGAGGTGCAAAAGAGACACAGCCCCTGTCCTGGAGCTAACAGGCCAGTAAGGGAAACGGCCATTCTTAAAAATTATTTGTAAATACAAACACTACATAAATATAGCACCCACAGCCAACTGTACTAAATGCAAAGACCATAATTCAATGAGAGATAATAGTGGAAACCTGGTTTAAGGTAGGAGATCAAGGAAAGTTTTTCTGAGGAAGTATCATTTTATCTGAAAACTGAAGAATGATGGATGATGTATACAGGATAGGGGGCAGAGAATATGTGCAAAGATTTCCAATTAGAAAGAGAAGCTTATGTGAAGAGCTGAACAAGAGAAATATTTTCCCGATGTTACATGATGCAGCTTATTTCAATGCAAATGTCTACATTCAGAAGAAGGCAACAAATCTGAATTCCTCAGAGTTAAACAGACTGAAGTCAAGTCCTAGCACAGTCCCATTACCTACATGAGTAGAATCGTCTACTCCCCATGTGTTGAGTGGTTGCTGAGCTGCTGCAAATGTCCCAGAGAAAGAGAGTTGCCATCGGTCTTGGGTTATTTAATATATTGTGTCACTTTTTGTTAAAGAGTTTAAAACAACTGATTTATGATACTGTTTAGATGTTCTTGCAATTTATAATTTGATACTTGGTTTTCACAAGTTTATGTATAGTTTATTAACATATATACTTTTCATTTAGGGTTTGTTGGAGTTCTCATGAACACTCTTTAGGCTACTGCAAAACCAAAAATTAAAGTGTGAGATGTACACAAGTATTTTCATAGCTAAGAATGTGAACCCACTCCTCTTGTACTATCCTGTAAGGAACAATGGAAATAGTCATTTTTCAAAGTATTTGTATATTTATCAAATTTCAGAGATCATTTAGTCCTAATATATCATGTTCTACTGTGAAAAATCATGCCAGAAATACCAAAAAAAAAATCTTGCTGCTTTGTTTTATACACATTTGTTATAATGTAGACTTTGTCTTGGCAGTCATTTGCACTCTCTCTTCAAATTCTACATAGAATCTTTTGGAAATTGGATTTCATGAAAGAAATTTCATTTAACTGGTAGCTCTTAGTTCTCAAAAATAGGTTCATTCTGCTATGAGAACAATTCCAAAGTGGAGACAAGAATTCTTCCACCCATATGGTAGTTTTGAATTGCTTAGCATCTTATTTACAATTGACTATCTATCAGGATGCTAGATTAGTTATGCTCCTATTTAAGTTTACTGTCTTCCTATTTAAGAATAAAACATATATCACAACTCATTTGTTTACTTCTATATTTACACTTGTGTAAACCAGAGTAAGGAGTCAAGAAAAACTTCATAAATACACAAAACTGCTCCTTACAGTCCTATATATTCCCCATTGCTCATGGATAATATTTAACATCTAGCATCCTTGGTATTGAATGTGAGGGTCTTTACAACACAGCCCCCTCCATTACAACATTATCTCTGCCACTTCCTCATTTTCTCCTCATCTCTTTTATATTCCAGCTTTGCTTGACTAATTGCCATTTCCAAAACATGCCACGTTCTTCCAAGCTTTATACCATTCCCTCTATCTCTTTTACTTGCAAAACCCTATTTATTTTTTAGTTCTCATATCCGTATTATTTTATATACTACTGTTCTTGGGCTAAGGCAAAAAATGTCACTGCCTTATTTATGTTTTATAATACTTTTATAACCACTATTATATCACATATTTGTTTTTATATAATCATTCACTTATATTTATGTTTTCCCAGCAAGATTCTTAATTTTCTCAAGAAGTTAATAGACCAATTCTATATTTTGCTTTAGATTCGTGCCTTCTACAAAGCCTTCCACGATGTTTGGCATACAATAAGCCCTCAAAAAATGTCTACTGAATTAAGTTAAACATGATTCTAGAGGCCTGTGCAATAGGTCATTGGCATCATCCAGCTTCTCACAATTTCATTGCATATTCTTCAAATCAACACTTAGAATGACAATTAGATTACACAGCATAATTTTCCCCAATGGGTGGGGCATTTTAACCAGTCTTGCCCATCTTTTTTTCTTGTGATGTCATGAGGGTGCCTTGAACATGCAGTCGAATTCCACACACAGAGCAGTCCTTTGTTCTTATCAACATCTCACAGCCTGTGAAGCTCTCAGTGTGCCTCTGTCCTTTGCCACAAACATGAGGCTCACATTCCCTCTCATGGCCATAGTCCTGGAAATTGCCATGATTGTTTTATTTGCATTATTTGTTGGGTATGAAACGGACCAGACTATTCTCCAGCAGCTCAACATCACCAACTCAACAGACATGGGCAAATTCCTTGAGTTATATCCTCGTGAGTAGGCAATTTACTACTTACTCTACATTTTTGGGTGCTTCAGTTTCTCAGAATGTGAAACCATTGACTACTATAAACCCTTGAGCTCCTTGTAGAATTATATCATGGTTATGAGTGCTAAGATATTACATGCTTGTGCTGTGACATCTGGTCTTCTTCTCTGTGATTAAGGTGTTTGGTTAGAACTTTTTCCTATGAAAATATCAGAACAAGAAGCTGAAAATTAAAATAATTTATTCTTTTTGTATTGCTTATTTACTGCTAACTGACCTTTTTTCCCTCAGTTGGTCACTAGTTCTGCAAAGAAAAGTATCACACTTCCTTTGCATTCCCCACTGAAAGGGCCAAGGGTAACTTTCGAGGAGAGAGAGTGCTAAGAAAATGAAATTATAAGAAGGGAACCCTAGATTTCATGTGAAGACCCTAAGGAATAAGAAGGGGTATTTAGCATGATGTAGGAAGTTAATGGAGTTTTAATCAAAAAGGTGTACTCAGAGTTTTAAAATATTCTGAAACGAAGTCGGTTTGTTCCTTTGAGATGAAAAGAAATGTGTGAATACTTAACATATTTTAAAAACAACATCCTTCCTTTGGAATGATGACTAAGCAAAGAGAGAAATTTAGTTTCAAGTTTGGAAGGGTAGGCTGTAAAATAGGTAATATAACAATGATAACTACCATTTACTGAGTCCTTATTATAAACCAACACATCCATTACCTCATTAACCAAGAAGGGAGATAGTAGTAGGTAACTATCATATAGACTATTTACTTTTCTTAAGTAAGGTTAAAATAATCTAAAAAAAATAATAATTATTTAAAATGGTATAATGTTTATTAGACTTCATAGCATATGTCTAAGCTTTTTAGAAAAACAATTTGACACTCTTTTTTTTATTCCTACTTTTTATAGGGAATTAATGTAATGGGGGTATTCCCATGTAGAAATAATGGCCTAGAGTTGCTAAGTGACATAACAAAAATATAAAATTGAAAGTTAAGGACAGAATTAGGATAATAAGACAGAGAAAACTAGACTCCAAGTCTAGTTGTCTTTACACTGCATAGATGTCCAAGAGGGTTCTTGATTAAATTAAGTTTTATAATTTGCAAGTTAGAGAATAAAACAGAAAAATATTCTGTTCAACTATGCATGCTTTTGTACATTTCATTCATTCATCCATTTATTCATTTAGTAAATATTTTATTAAGCACTAAGCATGTGCTACAGCAAATTTATTCAAAAATAAAACAAATATGATTATTTTATTCTAAGACTCCACTATCTAATACACTTGTAAACAGAGATGAAATACAATGTTAAAAATGCCAAAAATATGATCTAAGTTTAATATAGTTTAAATAAAGTTATCTTAAGACTTTAAGAGCTTAATAATTGCATCATTCAAGCTGAACTTTCTGAGTTTCAGTATCAAATCTCCTAGGTAAAACTTCAGTTCACAATTTGAGATCAAGACCAGGTTGAAGGAAAGTCACTAAACATGGTCATTTTTCAGTAACCTAGCAATAGATGAGTAAATTTTGGACATCTGGTGTGCAGCATAATTGATGATAGTTAACAATACTGTATGGATACTTGTAATTTCCTGAGAGGATATAGCTTCAATTCAATCTGATCATCCCCCATCCCCCCCCCCACACAGGTATACACACACACACACACACACACACACACAAACACATACAGGTATGCACACACAATGGTAACAACGTAGAGGTGATAAATGTGTTAACTAGCTTGACTGTAGTGATCATTTCACAAAGTATATGGATATCAAAATATCAAGTTGTATGCCTCAAATGTATATAATTTTATATGTCAATTATATCTCAATAAATCTTTTTAAAAATATAGTTTAGTAGTCATATCACTCTTCTATACCACTTGTAAAAACATGAAAATTTTTTGATTTTATGATTCATGAAGAAAATGTTTATTAAACTACCAATTCTTGCAAGCAATCTTCAGTCTCTTAAGTTTGTAGGCACTAGGCAGTGAATAAAACAAACAAAATGGGATTCCATTGTGTATATATGCCACATTATTTTTTATCTATTCATCAACTGATGGATACTTAGGTTGATTCCGTATCTTGGCTATTGTGAGTCGTGCTGCAATAAACATAAAAGTGCAAACATATCTTTCATTTTCTTTGGAAATATCCCCAGTAGTGAAATTGCTGGTTCATGTGATAGTTCTATTTATAATATACATTCCCACCAACAGTGTGTAAGAATTTCCTTTTCTCTGCATGGAGGTAGAGAGTAGAATGATTATTACTAGAGATTGGGAAGGGCGTTGGAACAGGGAAAATGATGAAGAAAGTTTGGTTAATGGTTACAAATATAAAGTTAGATAAAAGGAAGAAGTTCTAGTGTATATACTACAGTAAGGTGACTGTAGTTAACAATAATATATTGTATATTTTGAGATAACTAGAAGAGAAGATTTGAAATGTTTCCTATACAAAGAAATGATACATGTTCAAGGTGATTGATATCCTGAATAACATGACTTGCTTATTACAATTCATATGCATTTATCAAAATACCATCCACATACATCCCACAAATGTGTATAAATATTATGTATCAATTTTAAATAGAAAAGAAAATGAAAAAAAAGACAAAATAGGCAAAGTCCATGTCCTCAGGAAGTTTACATTCCATGGGGGAAGGCAGACAAGGAGATGTGCGACCAGACACATCTGAATGTCTAAATGTATACCATATATTTAGATGGTTTAAAAAAAAATGCCATGGCTGTAAATGAAGCAAGATTAGAGACATAAATGCATTTGGACAAGAGATGTTTTTTCAGCCTCTCTCCACCAGGGTTATGTGAGACAACAAAATCCTAATAACTCAAGGCATCCACTGCATGCAATTAATTAACTTGTCTCCTATGCACCTAGAATGCCACAAAGTGGAATTTTACATGAAAGGTAGCCTTCATTCATTAAAAATGCTGTCCATAACCCAGTCTATACACAATTAAAAGTTCTCTCTTCAGTAAGGGTGGGTCTCAAGACTCAAAATTCTGGAAAGTTCTCATCTTCCAGTTCAGTTATATTATTCCTGCTTAAAATTGTTTGTAGAATAGACTGAGAAAGTACATGACTGAGGTGTTATATACATATATATAATATATATAATATATATATAAAATATATATATATACACACACGTATTTCCCTACATTTCAAACAATTGACTTACACAAAGTTTATGTAATGGTATAAGTTAATGAAGAACAGATTGTTTATATTCATTAATAGAAAATAATGTTCAAGTCAAATGAGTATTTTGGGTGCCTACCTAGTTCCATGCCCAGTGCCAGTGCAGGGATTCAAGCATAGAAAAGGTTCGGTTCCTCCCCCAAGAAGTTCACAGTACGTTATGATAGTTCTCAATTGCAGTGTGGTAAAAGATTTGAGTGTTTCAAAAATAAATGAAGTTGTATATTAATCTACATTTTAAGTAAACTACAGAAAATATAAATTTATTCTTATCACTTGTATTCTGTTATGCTTTTTGAATGGGAGAGAAGGGAATTATGTTACAGAACCCTTGGATTTGCACACAGCCCTAAGCACAATCATGAAACTATGTTATGTACCTGAATATCATGTTTCATGCCATGAATAACCTCTGAGATAGTCATCTGATAAACTAGCTATACTCCATGGTTTTTGGCTTCCATAGCACCTATCAAGGTGCTGGTCACCCTGTTGGGTCAAATAATTTAAAAAGCACTGAAGTTTGACTGTGTCTGTCAGCTACTCCTTGCTAACATGTAGATGGACTAGAGAAAATTAAGGTTAAAGAGAAAGCTCTCTGGGGACTGTTTACTTTTTTTTTTTTAGAATTCCACAGATGCTAGGTATTTAATATCTAGGGGACATTAAAATCATATTAATGATCTCTTTATACTCCGTGGCATTAAAAATCCTTTAGTTTATCTTGTACTTTGATTGACTCATTTACTCATGTGTCACTCTGTAATACTGTTATATTGTTCATTTGAAAAATATTGATTCACTGACTTATACAGATCTTCCGAATGTTGACATATTTCCATGTATAACATAAAAAAAAAAGAATATCTGTTAATATCATCAACAATCTCTCTAGAAAAGTCTTGCCAAGTATCAGGAAGTTGATAAGCTTGTCATAGCAGAAACACATTTTCTGAAATTCTAATTGTTTAAAAATTGAGAATATATCACAGCTATAAATACTGTCAGTTCTTTAAATTGAGATGATAGCCTCATTTCATGCATTTTTCAGAAAATATCTGTCAGATACTCAAGTCTGAGAAGCAGCAATGTATGTGTCAGTCTTTCTTTCAAGAAACAATGGAATCTTATTAAAATGTTTCTTGTTCAATTGGCAACTCAATCAATCACAAAAGTGCTTTTTTTCTGAGATACCATCACATTTCAGTAGTGCTTTACATATATTTGTATTTCACCAGGCTGATTCATACGTATTAAAAAGTCACGTCATACACGAAAGGCAAATATGATCCTGGAATTGTAATGAAAATAGTTTTAACTTCTCAGACTCCCTGGAAGTTAGTCTGCAGGACACCCAGATATCTGTGGATCACACTTTGGGAACCACCGAAGACAGAGGTGAACTGGCAAAGGATCTACATATCACTTGAAATCATTTCATGACTTTCACCAAAAAATTCAGCAAATTTCATGTTACAAATGAAGGTAGCTGATTTGTGCTATGTAAACCATTCCTAGGAAATGGTTTGCTGCTGTTTTGTTACCTGGAATTGTCATGAAAACTGAATTAATATACTGTCTGTAATATATGACCTAACATAAAATACTAGTCTCTAGCAGAACCGATGTGGTGCCTTTGAATTGAACAGTTTTGCCTATTTAAAAGACCTGGAAGCCATGGGCACAAATAGTACTAAGACCTTGGATTTGAAATATCGTTCCCCACTCCGAGACTCA